GGGGGTATCGGGAGGCACTGGGAGCTCTGGGCATGGCTGGCTGCATGTGTGCACGCATGCCAGTGGCCCTGGGTATCACAGCATTATCCTGGCAGTAAGCCCCAAGGGATGTGGGGAGCAAGGATTTGCCCATTAGGCAGTGGGGTGCCGTGGGCTTCAGCCACGGGTGGCACTCTGCGGGCAGGGGTGGGCAGCAGTGTTGGGGAGTTTTGTGCTGCATCCCTGGCAGGTGAATGCTTAGGCTCCTGTCTAGCTTTTGGTGTAAATGAGTCAAGAAAACATGCCCTAGTGCAAGGATGGAGGCTGCAAGGTTGGCAGTAGTGCAACTTGCTCTATCGCAAATGAGTGCACTGACAAACAAAAATTATGGCTTGGTTTTGGCATTGACAGTTGGCCCTGGTTGGTTTGGGGAGTAGCCATAGCCCTGATCAACTGCTGTGACTCAAGTGTCTGAGTTTAGGGGAGCAGTGGCATGTTCACATCAGGGATGCTGGGCTCATCCCACACTGAATTCCTGTCCTTCTGTTGGTGCCTCCTCTGGACAAATTAAGTGGAGCCCTCCTAGCACAGATCGTGTCCTCAAATCCAAGGACTCCCTTTCAAACCCTGTGGGACACAGGAGGTGATAGCGGGCAGAATGCTAGCAGAAAGCCAGGACAGAAGTGTGGAGCCCAGCTGCCATGCTAGCAATGCTTGTTGCCCTTTGCAGTTTTGCAATCAACTGTCCTACAGGTCTCAGAAATTTTAGTGGGATCAACAAGCTTAGAAAAACTCAGTGGGTTTCCAGATTTCCTAAGCTGCTTATAGCTTTATAAGCAACATAGTCAAGAAGAAAGGTTTCCTTTTTGTGCCTTTTAAGAGAGCTTGAAGGAAGAAAACTTCCATCAAACAAATAGCAGGACATGAGCATCATTCCCGCTGCTCACAGGGACTCCTAAATTGGGGGGTGTCAGCAGTCATTTGAGGATGCAGCACAGTGCAGTGCCCCCTTCTAAAAGAAGTCCCTGCCAGAGTATACCCTTTTATTATCTATAATTATATGGATCATACTGATGGCCTTGCACCTGGATGCCCTTTGATTCCAGTATTGCCAGCTGAACTGTTCTGTGGAAAAGCTGAGGTTGGGAAAACGTTCTTTAAAGAATAAGTTGGGGAAAAGCTGTGGTCTTCTGCTGCTGT